TGTGTATGTGAGAGGGGGGTGGACACAAATGAGAAAGGCACCTAGGTAACTTCTAATTTCTCAGACCCACTGAGCTGTCTCTGCAGCCCCAACAGCAGCTATTTTAACCACCACACATTGGAAATAACACAAATGACTATGTAAAGTTAAATGAGAGTAAGAAATCAACCGGGGTGTATTCACAAAACAAAATGTTACATAACAATAAAGGTCAGCAGACTTCTGCTACACAAAGGTGACGTGGATGACTCTCCCATGCATAATGGCAAGTGAGTGAAAGCTTCGGGTTTATTGCCATGTGTGAAATGTTCTCAAAGCCAAGAAGACTATTATAATAAGAACTACAACAGCAGGAGCATAACTCGAAGAAAGGCTTGAATGAGGCGGAGGTGGGCCTGATAAAGTTCTATTAAAGTATGCTTAAAATCCTTATAATTCCTACAAGTTTTTCAATAAACCCATCAAAGTGGTATATGTACCTGGTGCTTAACTCCCAAGAATGGAACAGAAATTGATCCCTGATTAAGAAGGTCACTCTGCTACTTCAAATCTCTTGCAGTGGACAGACACTTCCTGTCAGAGGAGCCAAATATCAAAAGGCAAGAGGTTAAAACGACTTAAAATTTCACCATTCTTGAATCAAATGAAAATGTTACAGACTCCAGAGACCGTTCTTAGCTTTAGACTTTTCCAGTGACCTAAAGGTAGCCATTTGAAATTAGTTAAATAACATTATATTCAACCTTTCAAAATGAAGGGTTTTGCCTTTTTATGAGATATTGGCATTTTCAGCATCAAGGAGGTACACAACCTTCTTGACACAGTGATTCTCCAAAGAAACCATTTCTTTTCTCTTTTAAAGTAATATGCTTACCAACAGTCCAGCCACGACCTGCAAAGACCCGCAGTAAGATGTGCCCACAGGGGAAAGAGGGAGAAGTGTTAAGCTGCAGTCCATAAAACAAGAGCATCATAGTAATAATCCCTACAGAAAGCCAACTAAACCCCTTTCTAGTTTGCTAGTTTGGGTTTGGGTCTGCTTTTGCAGCATCACAATGCATATTGATGACAATAACAGTAAATAATATTTCTTCATATATGGATCCTTCTATTTCAAAGAACTTCCCATTGTCAGGTTTCCTATGAAAAGCAGAATCTCTTGAGAATCCCCTTGATTTAAATCCCAATGAGTTTTGTATTTTATCATGTTTTGTTTCATGGCACTAGGCTAGAACTCAGGGCCTTTCAGAAGGTAGGTAAGTGTTCTACCTCTGAGCTGCAACCTTGGCTGTGATGGGTAATGTTCACTGTCGAGTTAACTAAACTTGAATCACCTAGAAAGCATACCTCTGCACCCATTTATGAGTATTTCCAGGGAGCTTTAACTGAGGAAGTAAAGTGTTGGTAGCACCCTGCCATGAGCCTGGGTCCTAGACTGAACAAATGGGGGAGAGGAAGAAAAGCATCAGCCTTCGTTTCTCTGTATGTCAATCATACCTGTGGACACAATGTGACCAGCTGTCTGACCCTCCCATTACCATGCCTTCCCTACCATGATAGCCTGTACCGTCAAATTGTGAGTCAAGGTGAATGCTCTCCTTCCGTATTTTGTCCCTCTTTTACTATTTTATTTTGAGACAAGTTCTCACTAAATTGCTCAGGTTGGTCTTAAACTTTTTGTCCTCTTGCCTTGGCCTCCCAAGTATCTGGGACTACTGGCCTATGCTACCAAGAAGATGAGTTTGGTTATGTCATGTGTATTTTAGCAGTAGTAAGCACCCAGAGAGAGCTTATGAGAGGACTGACCTGAGTCCATGTAAACTGATCCAAGATGCGTCTGTAATAGAGCTGACAAGAAGCCTAGATTGCACCCTGTGACCTTGGCAAATGACAGCACTTAATATGTGTGATGGTTTGAATAAGAATGGCCCACACAAGCTCATAGATTCCAATACTTTGTCACTAGGGAGTGGCACTATTTGAAAGGATTAGGAGGTGTGACCCTATTGGAGTAGGTGTGGCATTGTTCAAGGAACTGTGTCACTGAGGTGAGTTTTGGTGTTTCAAAAAGCTCAAGCCAAGCCCAGTGTCTCTCTCTGCCTGCTCCCTGAGGATCCGGTTGTAGAACTCTCAACTACTTCTCCAGCACCATGTCTACCTACATGTCATCATGCTCCCCATCATCATGAGAATGGACTAAATCTCTGAAACTATAAGCAAGCCCCAATTAAATGCTTTCCTTTATAAGAGTTGCTACAGTCATGGTGTCTTTTCATAGCAATAGAACACTGACTAAAATAGTATGATAGTCTCCTTTGATTTGTACAGCAACCTATCTGGTCAGGAGCAATGAGTTTCCTCACCAAAATGCCTATCCCATAATAGGCACTTGGTAACACTTGCATAATGAGTAAATATAGTCATAAATGGACAAATAAGAGAAGACGTAAGGCAGGAACCCATTGTCCCAGCCATAGGACGGAAACAAGGATTGAGTTTACCTAAGGTCCCATAGTGACTAATTAGAAAAACTGCGCTGCAAACCTCAATCTTCCTCTAAGCCCAGAGCTCTCTCCTCAATTCCAGCAGCACTCGTGACAATATTTGCTTGCCTTGACCTGGGTGTGGGCATTTTATCTTCATTTTGTGTGTGTAATTTGTTCTGTTAGAAAGTGTCCAGATTCACTCAGCTTGGGAAGAAACCTGGTAAACAAGTTTCATGCACATGCTGATAGAACGTGATATTTTAAATATTCCCAAAGTGTGATAAAATGCAGAGCCCCTGAATTTTTGTAGTATGTATGTTTAATACAAAATAAAAATATCACCACAGAAAGTACTGAGCAAACAAATCCCCCTTCCTTCCTTTCCCCTCCTTGAAGCTGCAGCCTTAGAAAACTAAACATAGCCAGATAAATGTCTTTCCCAGAGACAATATGGTAATACCAAAGTAGCATATTTGGTCATTGAACTAAGGTTTAGAGAGTTTCTTAAGCTAGCTAACATCTGGGAAGTTCATGCACCTTACCTTTAATGATGGATATGTGTTTATTGTGGCCAGTGTGCTGCAAAACCCACATGCACGTCCACAGAATCGGAGAATTGCCAGATACATGTGCAGAATTGAAATCATTTTGAACTATGGGTAAGTAAATGAGCTTTTGAATCCGAAGAACTTTAAATGGCAAGAATCATGCCAGTGGAAGAGGATGCTAGGAATGGATCTAGCAATAGTGAGGACAGAAAAACCAGCAAACTCAGGTGGCGCTGCCATTCTCAAGGAGTTGTGGCAGGAGAAGCCTGGCTGTAAGAGCCCATTAAGGGAGGCTGTGCTTCCCTGCACATGACCCAGCGACCACTGACAGCACTACCTCCCTTTCTGTAACTGGAGCACAAATGGACCCAGAAGCCCAGAAGGAGAGAAAACATTTCAATTAGTTATAAACTACACACCGAGTGAAGTTCCTAGAAATAGTCCAGCAGAGTGAAAAACAGCCTGGACTAAGGGACACGTTCTATGAAATGGTTCAGACTGAAAGCTTTGCGGCCAGTTCATGTGTGTTGACTGTCTATATCTTTAGTTTTATTATTGACATCTTTTTCTTCAATTACACTTAAATATTGGTTTCCAGTATGTTTAGAGAGAATCAATTTATTTTTTCATATTTATGTCCAATCATCAGTGCTCTACCAGGTATGTCTAACCTGTAGTCCTCAGGCTTCATCTATCCCAGGGTAACAATGGATGTCACCAGTCCATAAATGCAAATGATGGCATCCTACAGCAATGCCGGCAGCCTGGACATCCCTGCTTCTGAATGTCCCTTCCCACTGATCTTGGGAACTGCCTAGGGTTCCAAACAGAGAAATCCTTTCCTATCTTCAGTTGAGGTTTCCTCTGATTTGCTTCCAGCTCTTTGCACATGCTCATGACAAGCATCCCGCTTCCATCCTCGCTCCTTCAGTATCTTCAGATAGGTCTTGAGCTAATGTCTTAACTTCTGGAACAGCTTCTCCACTTTGATCCTCTGCCTCTACGATCCCCACTGATTCAATCAATCTAAGTGCCTCCACTGATGTTTCTGCAGCAGCCGTTTGTTAGTATTGATGCCCTGGCATTGAACGTTGCATGAAATGAAACAACTTTTTGCATTACATAGCCCCACCCACCCCCGGACAGGCTGTAGTTTCTATGAGGCAAGAAGATTGACTTATCTTCCTCTATCATCAGTTATTATTCCTACCTATCATCTATCCCAAGCTTCTATAGCATGCACACCATGATGATTAATTTTAACTGTCAGCCTCACAGTAACAATATACACATTTGGGTATGTCTGTGTGAGCATTACCCAAGAGGTCTCTGAGCTGGGCAGTGATGGTGCATGCCTTTGATCCCAGGACTTGGGAGGCAGAGGCAGGCGGATCTTTGTGAGTTCGAGGCCAGCCTGGTCTACAGAGCAAGATCCAGGAAAGGCACAAAGCTACACAGAGAAACCCTGTCTCGAAAAAAAAAAAAGAGGTCTCTGAGAAGAGAAGACGTACCCTGAATATGGGCAGCACAAACCCGTAGATCAGAAGCCCAGGGTGAATCAAAAATGAAAAGGAGAAGGCTTGTCCAGTGCCAGCATCTTCCTGGCTGTTGATCTTACTGGAATATGAACAAGTTCCTGTGGCCACAGCTATGGGGCACTCCTGCAGCCATGCCTTCCCAACTACGGTGGACTCTTCTGAACCCTAAGTCAGATAAACCTTTCTTCTCTCAAGTTGATTCTTGTTGGATATTTAGTTAACAGCGATGAGAAAAGTAACTATGTATACGAGAAAAGTAACTATGTATACCTAAGGTACCTCAAACTACTTGTCGAATGGAGACACGGGTCAATGAATATGTTAAATGTAAGCTTCTCAATATGGCTTATGGAGCATGATATGGAATTTCAGCCTATTAACTTCTCTGGTTTCTTATCTTGTCACTGTGTGCAGAACTATCTACTCACCCACTATTATGAATCAGTTTCCGGTCCCGAAAACATCATTCTCCCTTTGCCTGTAAGAATTGGTATATATTAATATTTTTGGCCTGAAATTGCTTCTCCAATTGTATTTTTCCAGAAAAGTACATGCTTATCACACAAGCTCTGTTTTACAGGTTTTCATGTCTTCAACTCTGTCTTCTTACCTAAACTAAATTAGGTACTCATCCAAAATAAGCTTGCTCCCTTGAACCCTTCACAGCCTATCAGATGTATCTCCTTCTAGAGTTCTGGTCCTAGTCGGTATATTCTTACGGATGGTAAGCTCTCCAGAGCATGGACCACATCTGCTCACTTGGTTGTTATATTTGCCACAAAGTAGACACTGGATAAATATTTGAATGAAACAAGCATTTAAACTATATTGAAAAACACAAACAACAAAGTGTGCAGTATCCATCAGGCAGTACCTTCCCTTTCCTTCCATCAGAGAGCTAATGAATCTTTAAGGAAATGTCAATGCTCTGATTCTTCCTGGATCCTCTTTTTCCTTTCTCTCATTTTGATAAACCACCCAGAGTAACTCTTCTGAATCCTATGCTGTCAAAAACTTGAAGGCCTGGTTTCTCTCCTTGGAGATTTTAATTTCAAGTTTCATTGTTAAAATCACTCAAAGTTCACACTTGAATTTTCTAGTCTTCAATAACGTATCTGTAGGACCCTGGCTCATGTTCTGCTCACTGCCTATATCCAGATCCAAACAAATGATAAATATGGGCCTTGCCCCCCTGCCTTTCTTCTTTTGCCTACAAATGGAATGCACACACTAGCATCATCACATCCCTTTCTACTGGGTCCACCTAGTCTGCATCTTTCAGGAATGAATGTGCTCAATACTCAATGGACTCTTCAGATCCCATAATACCAGGATGAAGAGAGCATCACTAGATTGAACACGATATTTGCTGTCTCAGGTGTGTTGAGTTTCATACCTTGACTTTAGACACCAAATAACATCATGCTCATTACAGATAGATACAGTGCACCTTCAGGAAATAATCCATGAGGAAAGTTTAATCAGCGCAATCAGCCACCCTTCTGGAGCAGCTCTCCAGCTGCATATTGACAATAGGCCAGCTGCCTCAGCTCTGACTCTGAGAACTCATATCCCTATGAGTTGGCTGATATCCCTACTGGTTCTCATTAATCCAGTCATTTGCCAACAGGTTTTCAGACAAATCCACTCCCTTTCCCTCCTTCTTAGAATCACAGCCAGCCTACACTCCCTAGACACTTTTGGAGTTTACCAAGGAGTACATAACTCCAAAGAAACTAGATTCCATCCAATATTCCCTCCCTGCTGGGGTCCCATACTCAGCAGGCAACCTAGATCCTGAATTCAGATAATTCCAAATTCTATTGTCCTAAACCTAGGGATGGTAGAGATGTCCTATTCATAGAACTGCCTAGACACCACATCATTTCCTGTGTGACTTTTAAGCCCTTCTGTTTGCTGTTTAATTTTCACTATTAAAATTGTTCCATTGAACACCTAAAAATGGGTTCTTTTTCCTAAATGGATATACTAAATGATATGCCCTGAAATCTATAAAAATAATCAATCAATACATATTTTATAGGAAATAAGATTTTAATAACAAAATTTAAGTCCTTGTGCAAAATAATTATAATTCACTGCTATTGGACCAACTTCTCCTTCTGGAAACCCCACTGTTCATTCGGCATTCCATCTCTGTATTTTGTTTTTTCCATACCAAATTGTTAAAGGAAAGTAATTTTAGTTCATATTTTAATTTAGAAAAGGTCCTGTTAAAATTAAAATCTCAAAATGGAAGTCACTAGATTAAGGACAGGGGTGGTGATTTAAGGGAAAGTTGGAAAGCCCCTATTTTAAAATCTGCTGTATTTTACAGCAGAGAAATTAAGAGAGCTTGACAAGTAGAAAATGCTTGGATGTCAACCAGATGATCCAAATCTTCTTTTTTTTTTTAACTTTTTATTGATTCTTTGTGAATTTCACATCATGCACTCCAATCTCATTCAAGAAAAAGCATTTTTTAAAGATCTGAAATTCAAACAAGTACCAAAAGAAAAAGAAAAACCCCTCTATAAAAAAAAAACCAACAAAACAAAAACAGCTTTTGGGGGAATTCTAGAATCAGTCCAGGTGTGATTTTTCTTCATGCATTAAATCTAATCACATGTAAGTTTTTAAGGCTCTCCTGTAGGCAATTTGGTCTCCTGAAGCAATTTAACAATCTTTAAAGCATCATCCTTTAAAAGGAAGCTACATCTTTATTTTTTTTTAAGATTAAAACCATAAAGAATAACCATGGAGATGGATCAGTCAGTAAAATACTTGCCTTGCAAGCATAAAAATCCTGAGTTCCATCCACAGATACCAGGTGTGTTGTTGTGGGCTGGTAATCCCAGGATTGGCAAGGTGGGGTTCACTGACCAGCCTAGCCAGCTTAGCCTGCTTGGTGAGCTCCACACTAGTGAGAGACACTATTACCCAAAAAAGATGGACAGCACCAAAAAAAAAAAAAAAAAAAAAAAAAAAAAAAAAAAAAAAAAAAAAAAAAAAAACACTTGACTTGTCCTTTGGTTTCCCCACATTCATACATGCATGTCCATGCACATATGTATACACACACACACACACACACACACACACACACACACACACCATGAAGAAAACCACTGCTGGCATTAAGCCAATAGCCCTATAGCTCACAGCATTTACTAAAGCTATGGGATATCAAAGTTAGCAGAACTGTGTTCACTGAAATTAAGATTATTGAAGTGCATTCCCGTCTGTTATACCATATACAAACATCTCAAAGTCATCGAAGGTGGAGCCATCTCAAACACCCATATCAGGGGACATTATCAAGTCTCCTCAGAACCATCTCAACAAGACTAAGCCACGATCTATCAGAGTACTCACACATTTGGTGCTTTTCTTGTTCTCAAGGGCTTTCTGTCTCACCTCTACCTGAACCACTTCCAAGGTGTTTCTCAAATGGGCTGTGGAATGGTAGCCCTCCTTAACCTCTGACAGCAAACGTCAGCCCAAGCCTAAGAATTACAGAAGCCAAGGGACCACGAGGCCAAAGGGGGCATCACTCTAAAGAGAACTCCTATCAGTGCTTGTTATCTGAGTCTATCAATTTCATGTGTCTACCTAAAACACTTAGAAAATGTTTCTCTTAGTTTTGGTATTTGCATTAAAAGTCTCAGTGAAAATTTCTCAACCATGTATTCTATGTAACAAATGGTGAGAATTTCTATATTATATAAAAATCCCATCCATTGGATTCTAGAGAAAGAACAATCCAGGTTTATTTCAGTGTCTCCAGTGACTTGAGACTCCCTTCATCCCAGGGTAGCCCATTCCATTGCCTTTCAATGCTAATATGTAAAAGCATTCTCACAAATAGAACTAAATTCTCCCTCTTACTTTTAATAGCTATCATCTGTGAGCCCTTTTAATTTGGTTTTATTTATTTATTTATTATGTTACCATTATTATTTTTATTTTGAAGCAGGGTCTTCTGTACCCAAGCTGATCTTAAACTTGATATATAGCAGATGACAACCTTGAACTTCTGATCCTCTACCTCCCACATGCTGGGACTACAGCTATATACTAATCCACTCATTTGTGGTAGTGGGGATCAAACCCAGGACCTAGTACATACTAGGCTAGCACTCTACCAACTAAGCTATATTACCATATCAAAAGTATCTTTAAAAAAAATAAGGGTCTCTAGCTCAGGCTAGCTTCCAGTTGCTTATACAGTCAAGAATGACCTTGAACTTCTGATCCTTCTGATGTGCTCACACGTGTCTAGATTACAGTCCTGTCCCACCATAGTTGCTTTATGCAGCGTGGAGTATTGAACCCTGAATCTCACACATTCTAGGCAAACACTCTACCAATTGAGCCACATCTCTGACCTGGCAGAGCCATTATTATGTGCCAAAGATTGTCACTTTATATACTACTTGTGGTGGTTTGAATAAGAATGCCCCCATAGGGTCACATATTTGAATGCTTAGTCACCAGGGAGTTGCACTTTTTAAAAGGACTAGAAGAATTAGGAAGTGTGGCTCTGTTGAAGGAAGTATGTCACCGGGGGTGGGCTTTGAGGTTTCAAAAGCCCCTGCCAGGCCTAGTGTCTCTCGCTCAGCCTGCAGATGAGGATGTAGCTCTCAGCTACCACTCCAGCATCACACCTGCTTGGCATCCTCTGCATGATAAAAATGGACTAAGCCTCTGAAACTGTAAGGCCCCAATTAAATGCTTTCTTTTATAAGAGTTGCTGTGGTCATCGTTGCTGTGGTCACAGCAACAGAATAGTGACTGCGACACTACTAAACAAACCTCCCTCAAACCCAGCATGATAGATATGACATGACACCACTTCCTAATTAACGAGAATAAAGCTGCAGAAAGTTGTTGCCTGCTTGAGTTCATGAAGCTGAGCTAATAGTGGCCTTGCTTTTGTTTCCCAAGTAGGACATACAGCTCTTGATTTACAAAGAAATTTATATTCTTGGAAAATCCAAACATTTACTATTAAATAGCATGTCATTCTTTAAAGTGTCATACCTTCAGGATGTTTACATACACCTTCTCTCCAAACATCTGCAACAGCTGCTTTGAGGCAACAGGACAATGAATTATCTTTTCCTTTGAGAAATTCTAGATGATTTGGAAGAAACAGACAAGTTTCAGGGTACAAAGATCTGTAAGAGAAGATGCAAGATTATGAAGGAGGCCATGTGTTTCCTTCTTTCTGCCTATATACTAGCATGTGTACACACAAGCACACAACTAGACATAAACACACATATGTGCACACATGTGCAAACACAGAGAGAGAGACAGAGAAAGTGAGAGAGAGAGGGAACTGGGAGAAGCTGATTTTCAACTTCTTGGAGAGAGGGGGAGTCAACTCCAAAGATGGTAGTAGGTGGAAAAAGACAGAGAGGAGGGGAAAAAAGGAAGGCATTGCAAATAGGGGGGTTTTTTGGTAATAGCTCAGGTGATCTCCCCAAAAGCCAATGGCAGCCCCGCCCCCACAAAGCTACAAGGCCTGGGAAGAAAGGCAATGCTGTGGTCTCCTTAGTCTCTCCAAGAGTGGCCTCTCCAAGCGATTGGAATCAAGGACTTTGGGTTTAGAACCTGGTTCTACTGTGGGGCTATCCTGTGCTGCCACAGAAGAGAGTGCTAGTCAGTGAGTGCTCCCTAGGCCAGAAGGACTCCTTGAAAATGAATTCAAAATGTCATCTGTGAATCTCAATGGGTCACTGTGGAGAGTATGGAGGCCCCCAAGACATAAGACTACCATATAGTCCAACTCTCTTACTTCTAGATATGCATCCAAAGGAAGTCAATGTGCAGGAGAGACACCTCCTTGCCCATTATTGTAGCACTGTTCTCAAGACCTAAATGATGTAGTCAGCCTTGGTGTCTAGGGAGAAATAAAGAAATTATGGTATATGCACACGATGGATTCTCTCATTCAGCCAGAAGAAAAATGGGAAAATGTTGTTTGCAGCAAAAAAAAAAAAAAAAAATGGATGGAACTGGAGGACATTACATTAAGTGAAACAAGCTAGACACAGACAGGCAAGAACAACATGTGAAAACCGAGAAAATTAAAAACAAAAATAAAGTAAGTCAACCTGAAAATAAAATAGTGATTACTAGGTGCTGGAAAAGGTGCAGGGAAGGGGGTAGGAGGAGGGAGAATGGAAGAATAATTGCACATGATCCATACTTGATATAGGCATGCTTGAAAATGAATCAAACCCCACTGATATGCAAAATTTCTATATTCACTGAACATAAATTATGTGAAAAAGACCATCAGGAAAGTGATTTCTAAACCGTGTGACCATAATTTACAAAATGTTAAATATTTCTTGGCCTCCCAACTTAAGTAGCTTCCAGAAATGTAGCATTCACCTGAAACCTACAGAACTAGGTTAAAAACCTGGCATCTCAAGTGCCAAGGTTAGGGGGACTGTATTAATTGTTTTTCCATCTCTGTAACAAAATGCCATGACCAAAAGCAACTGACAAAAGAAAGAGTTTATTTTGACTTATGATTCCAGAGAGCTAGAGTCCCTAATGATGGGGATAACATGGCAAAAGGCAAAAATGGGATGGGGAGCCAGAAGCTGAGAACTCACATCTCAAACTCACATCTCAGCTGCAGGAAGTGGAGCTAAGCTAAAAACTCTCAAAGCCTGCCCCCAGTGACATGGTTCCACCAGCAAACCTGCTTATCCAGAAAGTTCTATAACAGCCCCAAACAGTGCTATGTTTTGTGAATCAAATATTCGATATGTGAGTGGGCCGGGTGACAGTTCCCATTCAAGCCATCGCAGTCACCAACTACTCCTGTTTGCTTTGGGACAAGGGATTGCTCGGGATGTGATGAAACTAAGATCATCTTGGGCAAAACAGAACAGCTGATCAACCTATCAATACAGCTTCTATTTAATAGCTAATCTGGGCCCCTTCTGTGTGTACTGGACACATCTCCCACTCAATAGTGTTGGGAAAGGGGACCAGGCAACCCATTGGTTATAGTCAGAAATAATCCAACTTATCAAATAAGGAGAAATGGAGGAGAGGTGCCAGGGGACTCCTCAAAAGGAACATTTATTACTGGTGTACTTCCACACAGAGAGGAGAGACCCGTCATGGGGACTGATTGATGCAGTGACATGCCCTTAGCTTGGATATACGACCACAGTACACAGCTTCAACCTTCTCCTCTAAAAGGAAAATACGATAATAAATTACAGAAAAGTTGAGAGTATATATCATTCCAAGGCACCGTTTGAAATACACCTGCTTTGTGTACAGCGAACACTGCAAAGGCAAATTAAATAAACGTCAGAAACAACTGCACACATGTTTATTCCTTCAGCAAGATATACACCGGGGAAGGGGCACAGGGGTGGTGCTGCTACACTCAAGGCTCTTTGAGACCCTAGGGAAACACAGAGATGTGACGGACTCGGTTCATGTCAGTTAGGCATCTTACCTGAGTCCTTTACTGTGCTCATAACGTCTGTTTCCCAGTTTGGATTTATGCTAACCTATCTGGACGTGTTCTCTGGGGCATAGAAATCCTCAGTAATTCAATCACCTCATTTACCATTGCTCCCTCAAGAAGAAACCATAGTCGAAGAATTTTTAATGTATTCAGCTTTCAGTTTTCCTTATGGAGAGCCAGTGTAACTTAGGTATCAGGTGGTAAAGACATATATTAAAGACAAATGGAGGTAGTAGCCCCAACAGGATGAAAATTATTGTTTTAGCCAATGCCCAATGCTTCTCGTATTGAATCAGCACTGAGACCATTTTCTCTCCTAATTCATTATGGTTACCTTAGTTCTAAGCCTTTATGACTTTATTCTACCCCTGGAGTCTCAACTGGCCTCTTGGAATTGCGGCAGAGTGATGCCTTAGACCCAGCCCCACTGATCAGGAGAGCATGGCCTGTCTGCCATCTGCCACCCTATGGCTGAACTCAGACGCCACTCTATTGTTTTAGCTGACGACACCTGACATGAGAGATGGCTGCTTCAAGAGGCAGAGGGGTCGCAGTAAAGAGAGAAGCCTGTTTAAGCTGGGGCCTGTCTGCTCTGGTAAATCGCAGGTTTTATCAGCCAGGTGCAACTGGTTCATTTCGATGGGGGCAGTGGCAGTCCATCTCTTTAGAGCCCCTTGTCAGAGAAGTCTTCGGGTGCCTCAGCATGCCAGGTTTGATATGAGTCAAACCTGGGGTGAACAAGGATTAACCTATAAGGCGATGTGAGATTCTCTTCAGGTTGATTCCAAGCAGAGACAGGGGAAACTGGAAACTGGATTAAAGGAGGTAAACTTCCCTGGGTTGCTCTGTGACACACACCTTATTTGCATTCTCTCAGCAGTTTGAATAAACATCACCATTGACCTGGGCGGCTCTCGCTGAGAGAGCCCGGGGCACTCAGTGCAAGGAGGAAAAATTTCAGTGCTGTCCTGGCAAAACTGGACAGCCTGTCAGAGGCACAAAACGGCTTTTGAAATCTGCATGTCTATGTGAAGGTATGAAATATTCATACCTCAGATTAAAATATTTTATTGAATTAATATTGATCTACGATTAATTTTTAAATAGATTCATATTTCATGAGGCCCTCACGATGAGCCTACCAATTGGACCTCTGTGAGTGAAACCAATTACACAAATTGTTAAGGAAGCAAGCTGGAAAGCTACTCCAAACGCCTGAGGAGAGACAAAAAGAATGTAAAGAGGTGGCTTTTTGATGAAATCAACAATGTCTATACAGTGACTGAAAAAATAATGCATCACCCTACTCGATTTCCACAGCGCTTTCTTTTTGGTGTAGGCCAGTGGAGCTTCCTTTGGGACATTTTGTAGTCATTTATTTATTCATTTAGAAAGCTCTCTCTGTTCCCTGTTTGGCCTCACATTTGGAAATCTTCACTTTAATGACATTTTTTCCCCTTAAAATTGCAGGTAATCCTTTCCTTCCAAGAGACAACTGTAGTAATAGTAACTATGGTACAGTGAAGTTTTCTTATGTGTGCCCCCCTCATAACCCGCCCCCTCCCCCATACTGGGCAAAGCCTTTCAGGGGCGTGGCAGCAGCAGAAAACAAAAGACATTGATTGCTGCATTCAATTAGCCTCTTCAAACACAATAGCCAGGAAGAGAAAGACAAGGGTCCCCAGTGCTTCTGAACATGCCCTATTTCAGTCTGAGCCAAGAGAATTGACTCCCACTCTGTGCCCTCAGTCTGCTTCCCACAACCACACCTGCATTTGGTTTTTGGTTTTGGTTTGGTTTGGGTTTTGCCTGAAAACTCCACAACCATCATTTCATTGAGTCCTCTTTGGGCAGGAAGGCACTTTCTAGTTTACACAAGGCATTTCTACCTCCTTGGCAACAAACCCAGCTCATCTTTATTCATACTCCTCTTTATATCTCATTCATACTTTCCTTTTCTAATTCAGCCATTCTAAATCAGGCCACCCCGGCTCAGTTTATTACAGGCAGTTGTCCTTTCTTCTTATTCTTTCTCTTTTCTTTTTTTTTCTTTTTGCACAAAACACCAGTACATACAGTAAAAGGACAAATGAGGATTATTCTTCACTTTGTGATGAAGGGTTTTACTGTGAACAAGGAGATTTTAAAAGGCCTGGGAGATCTGTGTGAGATGCTAGGCTGGCTTAGAATAGCCACATGGGGCTAGGATGATGCCCAGGGTCTCCTAATTAGATAAAGCCATTGTTTAGATTCAGACAATACCTGTTTACAGTTCAATAAACAACTTGTCACAGTTGCTTGCTCAAAGCAGACCTAGATGTCAATGCAAACAGTTAGTACAGAGGTACTGAAATAAATTGGTCTCCCGAGTAAATAAATTGAGCAGCATTGTGAAAGTGCCTCATCAGTACTGAGGAAGATAATCATTTATAAAGGTTTAAAATGGCGTTTCATAAATATTGACATTTAGAGAAATGTCTTTCCCCCACCTAATGACTACCCTCCCTTTTCCTATTTCCAACAGCCACTAAAAAAGAAAAATAATAATAAAATTGAAAAAAAAAGAGGATAAAGTATTTCTGGAGTCCCACTGAAGTTCTGTAATGCTTTGTATCTAATATTTAATAAACTTTCCCCAAAAGTATGTGCTATGGAATATAAATGACGGAGAAG